TCAATCCTTTGTTGATTAAATTATTTTAATTGTTTGTGGATTTTTTTCAAATGAATTACCACAATTTTAATTAACTGCTGCTATTTGTAAACGTGAAATGCTCGACGTCTGCAGATTAAAGTAAAAGCAGCACGTAACTTAATGTTCAATATATATAAAAACAAACTCGCTGTGGTCAACACTGCGGTGGAGTGGACAGCGTAGAGCCCAACAGTCGCCCGGCCAGCCCTGGTGATGGCCCTCGGCCGGCGATTTGTTCCCAAGGTCACTCCGCTCTCTCGTCTCCCCGATAGCACGACCGTGGGAGACTCTTGATGGAGCGGCGATGAGCGAGGGCAATCGGACGTGAGCGGCCCACGTAGCTCGGGGGAGCAGGGAGAGGCGGGGGAGGGAGGCAGAAGAGGGAGGCAGAAGAGGGAGGCAGAAGAGGGGAGGCCACCCCCGAAGACCGCGCGTGTAGCGTCGCGCACGGCCGAGTGGTGTCACGCGCCACCAGGTGACGTCCGATCGGCAGGGTTGAGGCTGCTTCGGACTTGGACACGCAACTGTCCTGGGTATGCCGGGTGTTGTAGGCTGACGCTGTGAGGTTTGGGGGGTCCTTTTTTTCGTTACTTACCTTCCCAGTTGCTGAACACAGGTCTGCCGCACCGTGCGCGGTGATCCGTGAGCGGCACCTGGCTGAACACGGGGGCTCAGTGCCCCCGTGGGCGACTGACCCCTCCGATCGCTCGCGTTTTGTTCCCGAGCGATTATCGACGCTCGACAGCAGGGCGAGGCGAGCCGGAACGTCCGGTTGGAGAGGGGTTACGCTCCTCAACAGGCCCAGATGGGCGGTTTTGTATAGGGTCCTCTATGCCGGAGAGAATCAGAATACAGTGAGGGAAAAAAGTATTTAATCCCCTGCTGATTTTGTACGTTTGCCCACTGACAAAGAAATGATCAATCTATAATTTTAATAGTAGGTTTATTTGAACAGTGAGAGACAGAATAACAACAAAAACATCCAGAAAAACGCATGTTTTTTATTTGAAATTTAATGAGGGAAATAAGTATTTGACCCCCTCTCAATCAGAAAGATTTCTGGCTCCCAGGTGTCTTTTATATAGGTAACGAGCTGAGATTAGGAGCACACTCTTAAAGGGAGTGCTCCTAATCTCAACTTCTTACCTGTGTTGAGGCGTAAATGATGACTCAGAGGCAGATCTTCGTGTAGGGGCTTGCGCCAGTTGTTTTATTAAAGACCTCGCTTTGCACACGACTCCGTGTACTGCACACTCACAGGCCTACACTCCACACCCCAGGGGAAGGGTACTGGGGATTCCCTAGCACCCGCAGGCTACGCTAGCCTGGTGCCAATTTCCCCCTACCCTGGGTCCCGACTTTCACCCTTCACGTTCCTCGACCCTCCAGACGACCCTGAACCCGTGACGGGTTCCAGCTTAAATCCCCCAGGGGTACATGACGTCACCGTCCCGCCCCCTGTCCATGACGTCACCATCCGTGACGTCATCGTACCAGAGGGCGAGCGTGACATGACGTCACTAACTCCTACTCTACACAGGTAACGAGCTGAGATCAGGAGCACACTCTTAAAGGGAGTGCTCCTAATCTCAGCTTGTTACCTGTATAAAAGGCACCTGTCCACAGAAGCAATCAATCAATCAGATTCTAAACTCTCCACCATGGCCAAGACCAAAGAGCTCTCCAAGGATGTCAGGGACAAGATTGTAGACCTACACAAGGCTGGAATGAACTACAAGACCATTGCCAAGCAGCTTGGTGAGAAGGTGACAACAGTTGGTGCGATTATTCGCAAATGGAAGAAACAAAAAAGAACTGTCAATCTCTCTCGGCCTGGGGCTCCATGCAAGATCTCACCTCGTGGAGTTGCAATGATCATGAGAACGGTGAGAAATCAGCCCAGAACTACACGGGAGGATCTTGTCAATGATCTCAAGGCAGCTGGCACCATAGTCACCAAGAAAACAATTGGTAACACACTATGCCATGAAGGACTGAAATCCTGCAGCGCCCACAAGGTTCCCCTGCTCAAGAAAGCACATATACATGCCCGTCTGAAGTTTTCCAATGAACATCTGAATGATTCAGAGGACAACTGGGTGAAAGTGTTGTGGTCAGATGAGACCAAAATGGAGCTCTTTGGCATCAACTCAACTCGTCGTGTTTGGAGGAGGAGGAATGCTGCCTATGACCCCAAGAACACCATCCCCACCGTCAAACATGGAGGTGGAAACATTATGCTTTGGGGGTGTTTTTCTGCGAAGGGGACAGGACAACTTCACCGCATCAAAGGGACGATGGACGGGGCCATGTACCGTCAAATCTTGGGTGAGAACCTCCTTCCCTCAGCCAGGGCATTGAAAATGGGTCGTGGATGGGTATTCCAACATGACAATGACCCAAAACACACGGCCAAGGCAACAAAGGAGTGGCTCAAGAAGAAGCACATTAAGGTCCTGGAGTGGCCTAGCCAGTCTCCAGACCTTAATCCCATAGAAAATCTGTGGAGGGAGCTGAAGGTTCGAGTTGCCAAACGTCAGCCTCGAAACCTTAATGACTTGGAGAAGATCTGCAAAGAGGAGTGGGACAAAATCCCTCCTGAGATGTGTGCAAACCTGGTGGCCAACTACAAGAAACGTCTGACCTCTGTGATTGCCAACAAGGGTTTTGCCACCAAGTACTAAGTCATGTTTGGCAGAGGGGTCAAATACTTATTTCCCTCATTAAAATGCAAATCAATTTATAACATTTTGACATGCGTTTTTCCGGATTTTTTTGTTGTTATTCTGTCTCTCGCTGTTCAAATAACACTACCATTAAAATTATAGACTGATAATTTCTTTGTCAGTGGGCAAACGTACAAAATCAGCAGGGGATCAAATACTTTTTTTCCCTCATTGTATGTATTTATATTGGAGGAATCCAATGAGCTATAAAGATTTTTTTTTTTACAGGTCTCCAGTAGGGGTGGCTAAGAGCGTTACAACAAACACATTACCATAACACGACAGCATTGCAAAGTACAGGCAAGGCAAACAAAGAGAGACCAGCGAGGGATGTCAGAGCCCTTGCTCGCACACAGACGCAACGAAACACAAGGGAGCAGTGGGAACGTCTTGATCCCCGTGCCAATTCGACGGACGGCCGCAGAGCGATTTGTGATGGATGCCATGGTGATAATGGTCAAAGGCAAGCATTTCATGGCCACCGTGTGATTGATGACGCGTGCGTGCATGCGCCTGCGTGTGCGGCCGTGCACGCTTCTGTGCCGCTGTACTTGCGTGCGCATGTGTATGCAGGGCATGTGTAGTTATTAATTAGCGGTGGTTAGCACTCTGAAACAAACCCGACGAACCCGAGTTCGTTTCCTGCTCACAGCCAACATTGGTGACGATTATCTGAACTGGTTTTGGGCCTCCCCTAGGTCTACTCAGCCTTAATTGAGTACCTGGTACGGTGTGTAAACATCAGCATTGGCGAGACAAAGGTTCCCTGGTGTGGTGCTGGCCACTGAGCCCTTTGTGTCCCGTGGCAGAATTAATAGGTACACCTGAACAGCACCACCGGTATATTGAAGCCTATTTGGCGATCTTTGTCGTAGTTATTTTATGGCATATGTCATTATGGCATATGTCGTGTGTGGAGAGCGATGGCCCAGTGGTTAGCACGTTGCACCATGGAACCCGGCGACCCAAGTTTGATTCCCAGCCACAGCTAATATCAGTTGCACGTGATAGCTGAACCTTTCCTGTGCTTCCCCTGGGACGACTCAGCCTGATGCAGTGTGTCAATTCTGTATGAGCAATGGGGAGACAAAGACGGCCGGACGTGGTGTTTGCCAGACCACCTCCCCTTTGGGTGCCATTTCAACTTCCGTAGGTGCTCGCTTGACAGCACTTGCCCCGACACTCTGCTTGGGCTATACCAGCGGGCCTTTGTCTCTTTTATGTGTGCATACGAGTGAACGTGTGAATGTGTGCCCCGCATTTGGTTCATTTCAGTGGGTGCCTTCCGTCATCCTCCACCCACTCGCGTCACTCAGGCCACCTTCAATTGGCACTGGCTGTCACCTCCGAGTGCCACGCTTCACAGTGAATATAAACACGCTTAATACCTGTGGATTTCAGGAAATATGGATTTTTAATACCACTTAAATTTTGTCTCGGATATGAAATGCATAAGGATAAAGCCCTGAGGCATCGTGCACGTGTGCGTGACGATTATCTAAACCGGTCCTGGGCCTCCCCTTGGTCGGCTCAGCCTCAAATGAGTATTTGGTGCGGTGCGCAAACATCAGCACTGGGGAGACAAAAGTGGTTTGGTCTGGAGTTGGCCACCCACACCTCGTGTGCCTTGCCGGCCTTCATAGGTGCTCTCGAACATCACTTGCCCCAAAAAGTCTGTCAAGGCTACACGGGAGATTTTTTTTTGTCTCTGTGTCTGATTAGTCATTGTTTACACAGCTAAAAGTAGCGTGCGCTTTCCCACTGAATTTGGCACAGCTGCTGACTGCGAGAGAGCCATCGCAGCACTGAGATTGTTCACACTTTTCTTGTAATCTGCGCCATTTGGTGCCAGGTAGATGCTGGCTTAAACGTCTGGCCGCCACGCGGCACGGCGCTCGGTGCGTTGTCCTGGGCGTGACGTTAAACTGCATCCGGTGATGGTGTCACCAAAACAACGCTGTGAGGGAAGGCAACAGGAAACCACTTCAAACACCACGACCCCCCAGCCTAAATTCGCCGGGGCTTCTCAGAACGCTTTATTACCCATCTCATCCCAACCGTCTGAAAGGGGCACCCCCAGTGGCAGCTGGCTCTGTGTGGTCTGCCAGTGTTGGGGGGTTGGGGGCGATGACGCCAATCTCCCACTGTCTGCCTTGTGTCTCTTTCTGGTATCTCCGTTATGTCTCATGATATCCCTTATGTCTCCCTTACGTACCCCCCTCCCCCCGTCGTCGTGACCGGCGCGTGACGCAGGCGTGACGATGAAGCTCATGGACGAGGTGGCCGGCATCGTCGCGGCGCGTCACTGCCAGACCAACATTGTCACGGCGTCCGTGGACGCCATCAACTTCCACCGCAAGCTGCGACTCGGTGAGACCCGGCACGGCGTCGCACCGGCTTCCCCTGCCTCTCGCTCTGCTGTTGGGATGCATAATTAACAAAAACTACATTTCTACATCGGTGTCCTCAGTGTTATATGAGAACCGAGCCGACCGTCATTACGTGCGGCTATCTGCTGAGCCTAACGTGCCAGCCCCCGACTTCCTTTGGCTTCCTCGCACGATTACGATCGTGACGCTTTCCCGTTGCCTCTGTGTTCCTCCCTCCCAAAGCAATATCCTTGCTCCCCCTCCCCCAGCCTCTTGTGTAGAGGATAGAAAGAAAATCCTCCCCAGACTTGACCGTGTAATTAAATGGCCCCCACCTGAAGACGGCAATACCCATGGAGAGAATACGTCAATAGGGTCGAGTTTAACCTCCCCTTTCCCGGCGGCAAGCCGCTTATGCGATCGATGCGATGAACGGCAGCGCTGAATTCAAACTCTGTCCGTGAAGGCCGAACGGCAAGACGGGAAGAGATATTCTCCAATTTCCTCCACGGTAAGAGTCCGTTGTCTGGACAGATTTTATGAGTCCCTGTATCCTGTCTTCTTCTAGTCTGTTATGCAACAAAATGTAGACTGCAGAGCAGAATGAGATGGGGTTTTTTTTGTGAGCGTCCATGGGGAGAGGTAACGCTGCGGTTTCCCACGCTGCGCGGCGAACCCCGCGAGACCGGAGTTGCACTGCCGACCATGGATAGGAACGGCAGTGGCGTGTGTTATATCCACACTCTATCGTGGGCCTCGCCGAGGTCGACTCGGCCTTAAATGGTTATCACTTAGCGTGGCGTGTGTGAATAAAAGCACTCGGAAAAACAAAGGTGGTCGGGCGGGGTTCTAGCCGCGTCGGCCTTGCTTGCTAAGAGCACTTGCCCCAAAAAGTCCATTCGACGAAACAGGGAATATTTGTGTCTTCGCCTAATAGGTGCTCATCAGCAGCCCTCGCCCACCTATTTGCCTCACCGTTTGATTGTTTGTGAGCAGCGTCGTCATTTCGAATGCGAATCTTAGGGTTAGGCCTCGCCTGGGTCGAACTCAACGTGAAATCAGCACCTGGTGCCAAGGCGTGCGTAACTCCCGATCGCAACACCCACCACCACCTCGCGGCCCGATCCCGTCCTCTTGCCCCCCACCCCCCCCAACGACTCGCCGCCGCACGTGCATCCAAACGACGAGCGCGGTAGGAGGCCTTCACCTCGGTTATTATTTGTCGCGTCGTCGTCTCTCGGACGGCTCGACCCAGTAGGGGGGGGGGGGGGTGGTCCCGCCACCTCCTCCGTCCCCGCCACCTCCTCCGTCCCCGCCACCTCCTCTTCCACGTCGTGCCCACCGGTTTCCCCGCTCGCGCCTCCTGAGCCCCGTTCAACCTCCACCCGCCAAGCCGTCGAGTCGGCGATGATAGCGGCGGCGCCCGTTACCGTTCGTCTACTTAATTGGCCGTTTGTGCCGGGTTGTTGGAAAAAGCAATTTGTAACGGCTACCGCGCGACCATATGTGTGTGACTTGCCGTGTGTGTGTGTGACTTGCCGTGTGTGTGTGTGACTTGCCGTGTGTGTGTGTGTGACTTGTGCGTGTGTGTGTGTGACTTGCCGTGTGTGTGTGTGTGACTTGTGTGTGTGTCACTTGGCCGTGTGTGTGTGACTTGCCGTGTGTGTGTGTGTGTGACTTGCCGTGTGTGTGTGTGTGACTTGTGTGTGTGTCACTTGGCCGTGTGTGTGTGACTTGCCGTGTGTGTGTGTGTGACTTGCCGTGTGTGTGTGTGACTTGCCGTGTGTGTGTGTGTGACTTGTGTGTGTGTCACTTGGCCGTGTGTGTGTGACTTGCCGTGTGTGTTTGTGACTTGCCGTGTGTGTGTGTGACTTGCCGTGTGTGTGTGTGTGTGACTTGTGTGTGTGTCACTTGGCCGTGTGTGTGTGACTTGCCGTGAATGTGTGTGACTTGCCGTGTGTGTGTGTAACTTGCCGTGTGTATGTGTGTGACTTGTGTGTGTGTCACTTGGGCGTGTGTGTGTGACTTGCCGTGTGTGTGTGTGACTTGCCGTGTGTGTGTGTGACTTGCCGTGTGTATGTGTGTGACTTGTGTGTGTGTCACTTGGCCGTGTGTGTGTGACTTGCCGTGAATGTGTGTGACTTGCCGTGTGTGTGTGTGATGTGTGTGTGTGTCACTTGGCCGTGTGTGTGTGACTTGCCGTGTGTGTGTGTGACTTGCCGTGTGTGTGTGTGACTTGCTGTGTGTGTGTGTGTGACTTGCTGTGTGTGTGACTTGCCGTGTGTGTGTGTGTGTGACTTGCCGTGTGTGTGTGTGTGACTTGCCGTGTGTATGTGTGTGACTTGTGCGTGTGTGTCACTTGGCCGTGTGTGTGTGTGTGTGAATTGCCGTGTGTGTGTGACTTGCCGTGTTGACTTGTGCGTGTGTGTGACTTGCTGTGTGTGTGTGTGACTTGCTGTGTGTGTGTGTGTTGTGACTTGCCGTGTGTGTGTGTGTGACTTGCTGTGTGTTTGTCACGTGCCGTGAGTAGGAGGCCCCACGCCGCCGTTTGTTGAATAATGCACACGTTGCCCTCAACTCATAAATACAAATGTGTGGCGGCTTCTACTTCAGCGGCGTCTTTAAACGCGGCCCTCTTTGCATCCACATTGAAAGGCGCTATGTTTAGCGCACGGATATCATTATGACCCGAGAGTACGTCCGCCGAGGAGACGGAGCGATGGGTCTCTCCATCGTGTCCCTAGAGCGGCAAGGGGGGTGGAGTGAAAGTGAGCAGAGTTCACACAGCAGCGGCCCTCAACACTCAGTGGGTTCCAGTGTTGTTTTCCAGTTTTTCGCTCGGCAAATCACCGCGGTCTGATGCATACGGACTGCTTGTGCAACACACAGACAGACGTTAGATGATGACATAAGAGCAGAGAGGTGAATATTCCTTCGTGATAAAGATAAAGATTCCCAAGCAGGCGGTCAGGAAAGGTACTGTGCACTTTGTGAGCACCCTAATGGAATGAAAATCAGCGTAGTGCACGAGTGGGTGGTTTGGCCAGAGCTTCACCTTTGTCTCCCCAGTGATGATGTTTTACACACCGCACCAGGTACCGTACTCGTTTAAGGATGAGTCGAGGAGCCCCAGGAGCGCTTCAGATATTCGTCTCCAATGTGGGCCATGAGCGGGAATTGAACTCGGGTCCCCGGGATCGTTGTACAGTGAGCTAAACACTGCACTACTGCACTCAAGCGTGTCCACACTCCTACAAAGACCTCCCGTGTAACCTTTAACGGACTGGTTGGGAAACTGCTGTTAGCGAGTAGCACCTGCAGTCTGGAATGGCACACAAAAGGGGTGGATTGCCAGCACCACGCCCGACCGCCTTTGTTTCCCCAGTAGTGATGCTTACCCACCGCACCGGGTACTCTTTTTAGGCTGAATCGACCTAGGGGAGGACCAGGACCAGTTCACTGGTGTTGGCCGTAGAGCAGCGCGCTGCTGTTCGCTGCGCGACCGCTCCCCACACATTCTGCGGTTTTGGAATTCCAGCTGGGATTAAAGCAACCTCGGGAGCCCCCCCCCCCACTTCAGCAGGGATTAAACGATCTGGATTGAAGCCCCAATGTGTTCACTTCTAGGGGATGTTTGCATCACCCCCACTGACATCCGGATTAATGGCAGCGCATAAGGCCTTGAAGATAATGGTGAGCGCATTGAAGACCATGTGCTTCTATTTGTGTGTGTATACACCACGCGGATAAAACATCAAAAAGCTAAGCATTTGTACGCGGTGTTGCACGTTTGGCTGGATGACCGTACTTCACCACGCTGGTCAATGCGGGTTGGTGAAGGCATGGGCAGCCTAGACATTGTGAACTTGCTATCGTTCGTGCCCCTATCGTCCTTTGACGTTGTGCGTAGAATGGGTGTGTGTAGTGTTGTGGTTAATGCTGCACTGCGTTACAAACCTGGAAATAAAAACATGCTTCCTGCAGCGGCCCCGGCCTTCCCCTAGGTCGACTCGGCCTCAAATGAGTACCTGGCGTGGTGTGTCAACATCGCCACTCGGGAGACAAAGGCGGTCGGGCGTGCTGCTGGCCACTCACCCCCTCGCGTCCCGTGCCGGCCTTCATAGGTGCCACTCGCCCCAACAGTCTGTTGAGGCTACACGGGCGGGATCCTGCACCTGCGTGTAATTGTACCGGTGATTAATTGTGCGATGTCGTCTAATCCGCAAGCAACTTTCGGGGTATCCAGTAAGCAGTCGATTAGCTTATCTCGTTTCCACAATCCATCTCGCCTGCCCTATACACACCGGCACTAATTCCACGGCCTCAGCTGCCAAGGCTGATCGTAAATCGCTACAGCGGTACATTATTTTTCTTATGCTTGAATGATTTTGCACTTGAACAAAATTGCCACCCTTTTTTAAGCCACTCTGCGCTAATGAGAGCGCAAGCTTTTACGCAACAAGGTGTGTCCAAGTCATAAATTGCGTCCATACATTTTGCGCCCGTACAATTCCCCTTTTAATAGGTAGCACGGAATTATGCTTACAACCAAATGTCTCCGTCAGTGCGTCTCGGAAGCCTCACAGGGGGCTGAGTTTGGGGTTCGCGCTTAGATTGGAGAGTGCCGTGCGTTTGTGGGTGTGCGCTCAGAGATGGCCAGGAGTTCGTGGCCAAACAGCGATGGGGCATCTCAAACCTATTTGCGTTTTTCTTTTGTTTACATCGTGGTTCGCCGAACACAGCCCCAGCGCGTTTAGCAACCGCCGGCGGCGCTAATAGGCGTAAAATAGATAAGAGTTGATACCCCTGTTGGGTTTAAACAGGAGTTGTAAGAACTTGGGAAAAGAGACGTTGGGAGGGAAGCCGCTTTGAGTGTTACCCTCGTTATATGTGTGGGTTTTCTCCGGGTGACCCATCAATGCCATCGGACATCGAGTATATTATCATCACGAAATATGTGCATTTTTGTCATTCCAGGACCTTCAATAATTCAAATATCTT